CAAAGGTCAAAGACAAAGTGGATCTCTGACTTTGACCCTGGCTCTTGATGGAGGAGGTATATAAGGTGAAATAAAACAAATCAAAGCTAACAAATGAGAATTGCACCGGTATTTACATTTCTGTTAGCCCAGCAAATATGGAGGTGGAAGGAAACAAGACTCACATCATAGTACATGTAAAATGTATATTTTGCTTCCTTTCGATTCTTTTTGAAATCCAAATGTCAAACGTCAAGCTCAAATATATGGGCAGATTGCTTCTTGATGATTATGTGGGATATATTGCCACAAGACGGGGCCCTTACTGACCTGTCAGTGTTCTAGTTGGGTTAAGGTGTACATGTCTATTCGGCTATAAACATAATGTTATCAGGAAATACTGACGTTCATCGTCACATGAAAATGATAATCACGGAGGACTTTTTACGATGTGACAGAAGAACTACTCCCTACCGTCACATCGCTTACTCTTAACCGACTCATAAGTGATAATACATTTATATAAGCAATATACCAGGAACGCTTTCAAGCTTTGTCTATGATGTTGTTTTTATATGTGCGCATTGTAGCTGTAGGGACGGCAGGCGGGGGCGAGCCGGGTGTTAATGCAAGCACAATGTCATAGTTAGTTATATGTAAACGCGTTAACGAATCCGGCTTCGTCTTCAAATAATATCCATGCTACATATATGTAACCTCTGGTGGTTAGAAGGATGGGTCTCAAAAATGCAGGAAACGCAATTCACCAAATTATGAACACTTCTGTTTGCTTTTTCCTAACAAGCCCATATTTGACGAACGGTCTTCAACTTGAACAAATTCCTTTTTCTTACGTGGTCCCGTACGAAAACGTGATTGGAGTTACAGAAATATCAATGTAGGTGGAATTACGTCTAGCACGGTTTACATGAAAACATGTTTATTAATAAAATATCTATTGTTTTTTGTTTGTTTTTCAGGATTGTACGTCTCATTCTTAAGATTACTGAAATAGAAAATTAAGTATTAAAAGCATATTTGAAATTCGTGGCAAATAGCAGAATTGGAAATTGGCGTTAACTAATTCATAACGTTTTGATTTTTACATATCAACATGTTTTCATTTTTGTTTAAGATTTACATTTCAAGTTATTGTACATTTTATAGAGTATTTCATTGTATAGCGGGAAACTTTTTCGCCGTACACTTGTAAAATCCATATTAACGAAAGCTTACAAGGGTCAACTTCTGAAAAATATCTATTGTTGTAAAAAGTTGCAAATCAGTACATTGTAAAGGTTATTATTGACGCCTTTGATGTTTCGCTGTATACTGTAAAATCATCAATTTTCGTGGGACATTAAATTTCGTTTAGTCCGTGGATAACAAAAATCCACGAAATTAAATCCCCACGAAAACATAAATTTGGTATTATATTGATAGGGGAAAATCAGCGAAATATAATGTCCTTGAAACAGGCTAGTATATGAAAACCTCGAAATATTAACCCCGCTAATTTAAATGATTTTACGGTATGTACATATGTCTCGGAACACTTTACGCATGGGTTGTCATTTGTTTTGATCTGGAGGATCACTAACGAGTCCGATGTCAACGAAACGGTAATATGGTGCGGTACATGTATATAGTCACGACGTTTGCCTTTCTGCCTCATCAAATTAAACGTCCGTATAGATGCGTCCTCACTTCGTATATATCTATCATCATCAGTAATGCTTTTTCTATGAGAAATCTTAATTTAAGGAATTTCCTTAAGTCGAAAACCATGAACACTTTATATCATAAACAGCCAGATATAATATGTATAATGCATACCCCAAACAGAAACACACTTACTTGAACAGTTCAAATCCTTAACGGATACAATATATATACCAACATGAAGCATTTCTGACTAAATTGAAATATTTTTACATGGACAATCCTGATTAGAAATATACCAACATTTTCTATTGATATCCTAATTAGTGAGATTCTTTTTTAAAATCTAAACAATGATATACCCACACGACTATAAATATAGTTAACAAAGAGATGTCAAGGTTAACGAATTATACGTCAAGCTACATGTACATACTCTAAACAATGGGATGTCAACATGTACAGTCTATATCAGGTACAGCTGGATATCAACATATTCAGTCTATATCAGGTACAGCTGGATGTCAACATGTACAATCTATATCAGGTACAGCTGGATGTCAACATGTACAATCTATATCAGGTACAGCTGGATATCAACATGTACAATCTATATCAGGTACAGCTGGATATCAACATGTACAGTCTATATCAGGTACAGCTGGATATCAACATGTACAGTCTATATCAGGTACAGCTGGATATCAACATGTACAGTCTATATCAGGTACAGCTGGATATCAACATGTACAGTCTATATCAGGTACAGCTGGATATCAACATGTACAGTCTATATCAGGTACAGCTGGATATCAACATGTACAGTCTATATCAGGTACAGCTGGATATCAACATGTACAGTCTATATCAGGTACAGCTGGATATCAACATGTACAGTCTATATCAGGTACAGCTGGATATCAACATGTACAGTCTATATCAGGTACAGCTGGATATCAACATGTACAGTCTATATCAGGTACAGCTGGATATCAACATGTACAGTCTATATCAGGTACAGCTGGATATCAACATGTACAGTCTATATCAGGTACAGCTGGATATCAACATGTACAGTCTATATCAGGTACAGCTGGATATCAACATGTACAGTCTATATCAGGTACAGCTGGATATCAACATGTACAGTCTATATCAGGTACAGCTGGATATCAACATGTACAGTCTATATCAGGTACAGCTGGATATCAACATGTACAGTTTATATCAGGTACAGCTGGATATCAACATGTACAGTCTATATCAGGTACAGCTGGATATCAACATGTACAGTTAGTATCCGTAACAATCAGATTACATAAATGACACACCCACGCGACTGCGCAATACATACGTTTACATAACCAGTAACAATACATGTAATTTGGCGTCGTATACCCGTCACAGATAACTGATTTGCTCCAGTTGGAAACACACAAAAAAACTTCCATCATTAAAACATATTGCATATATATAAAAACTGGCTTACTTGTTAAAATCTACATTCCATGTACTTTTATTTATATATTTTGTTTAATATAACACCACATCTTATCGAGTGCAATCAATTGAGGTGACTATCTTTTCTCGGAGGTCTACATTTCTATAAAGAAAACCGTAATATACAGAATATGCTTCTCGATTTCTTGATCAAAACAGTTATATTTCACTTATGGATTAAAACAAAAAATCCCATATTTTTCTTCAATTCGTGTTTCGCATTCGTTAAAACATTTTTTTTTTTTAAAAAAACCATTCAACTTATAAAATATACCTGTTATTCATTAAAAAGAAATTAGGGAACGTAAAAAAGACCTGGGTGTGTAATAACACCTATGGTATACAATCTATATTTTACATCAAGACCATTGACATTGCGAAAGTATGGTCCTTTAACACCGCCCCCGACGAATGTTAAAGGGTTACGTATTTGTGAAACTTGTGCTAATTTAATTTTCGTACAGTCTTAAAGCACTAGATTTTCCAAGTATTTTTTTATTAACATCAATATCTTGCAAACTTTACAGATAAACACGCTAACAAATCACCACGATTTGAGCGAGGACCCTGATCATCATAAAGGAAAAGCGCTTACAAGAATCCGGTTACGATGACAATAGTTGCGAAAAGAAAGGACCGAAGTGTCAATGACCGTATTTTGAATTTGAAATCGATAAAAATAAGGCAAAGTGCATAACGTTTCAATGCCATCAAATCATCGGAAACAATTCGATGTCATAATCGATTTGTAAACCAATGAAAAATCGTCATGTTACCCACACGCCACACGCACGTATAGGTCACGTGATTAATTCCATTTTCACCAGTGCTATATCAGAAATTACTATTGTGATAAAAACTTTTAATTGTTACATCTTCATATATGTTGGTATAAGGTCCGGTAACTATTTAATATTGACATATCGGGGAATTATAAAGAAATGTAGTCGATATGGGGGATGGATTCTCCTTTAATCTACTGTTATAATATATTCTCTACGCTTACTCCCCAGAATCATCCTCTCTAATCCATTATTGTAAAACTCTTCCCACTTTCTATAGGACGAATCTCCTACAACCTCCCTTGATTGACTTCTTAAAACCACCAGTATAACTGTAATGATAATTTTAGAATCCTCTAGAGTTGCCCTAATTTTCACACTGTTAATGATTACTTTTTTTTCTTTGGTGTCCTCTTGGTTCCTTTTGTTGTGTTTCCTTTTGGTTTGGCATCACCATTGTGTCAGCTGTATCTTACATCATTTTTCCTTTTATATACGTATTGGTATTTAGCTCCGAAGGTGTCCGGTAATAACTCATCGGTGTATCTTTCACGACACAGTCATTGCTACTCGACCCTTGATAAACTCCGTCTGAATGCTCCATTTTACTTGCATTAGTAATGCCCGACTTTCTAATTGTATTTCCATTCGCCCTGTGTCCTAGTTGCTGTACTTGGAGGGTTCCTGTACGTTGCTGGTGGGGAGAAAATCTTCACCAACACCACCCCCACCGACACTGTGTTCCGGTTTGATCCTCGACTCCATACGTGGCTCCAGGTTGCTAGTATGAATCACAAGAGACAAAGCTTTCCTATGACGTCACTTAATGGCATGTTGTATGTCCTTGGTACGTATGTCTGCACTGTTATACAACTATAAACACGTAAATAGCAATCTTAGTAAATAAACATTGCACTAATACGGGAGTATATATGTATTTAAAAACTTGGTTTTTACCAGCATTTACATTGTCGAAGAAGATTTTTTTCTCTTATGTAAACATTCACAATTGATTTCTTTCACAGTAAATCTTTAATTTCAGACTCAGCACAGCCGAGTTTAAGTATTGTAACTCTAAAACATGTCTTGAGTTGACGTTAAATGGCATCGGCTTTGTATATATTAGAACTTAAACAGACTATAGAACAAATGCGCCATAACATGCTCTTTAGTGTTTCCTCTGGTAATTGGGCATCTACTCCAGGTAATAAGGTTCGTTTGTTTTCAGCGAGAGTTTTCTAGGTTCCTGTTGTAGGTGATTACTTTATATTTGACTACTTCAGTGAGAGGAGTTGTTGTTGTTGTTGTTGTTGTCGTCGTTGTTGTTGTTGTTAGAGGTGTCTATGTTTCTGTTGGTGTTGTTGCTGTTGTTGTTAAAGTTGTCTATGTTTCTGTTGTTGTTGTTGTTAAAGTTGTCTATGTTTCTGTTGTTGTTGTTGTTAGAGTTGTCTATGTTTCTGTTGTTGTTGTTGTTAGCGTTGTCTATGTTTCTGTTGTTGTTAAAGAGGTCTATGTTTCTGTTGTTGTTGTTGTTAAATATGTCTATTTCGGTTGTTGTTGTTGTTGTTGTTGTTAGAGTTGTCTATGTTTCTGTTGTTGTTGTTGTTGTTGTTGTTAGAGTTGTCTATAGTCGTGTTGTTGTTGTTATTGTTGTTAAAGATGTCTATGTTTCTGTTGTTATTATTGTTGTTAAATATGTCTATGTTTCTGTTGTTGTTGTTGTTGTTGTTGTTGTTGTTAAAGTTGTTGTTGTTAAAGTTGTCTATGTTTCTGTTGGTGTTCTTGTTGTTGTTAGAGTTGTCTATGTTGTTGTTGTTGTTGTTGTTGTAAGCGTTGTCTTTGTTTCTGTTGTTGTTGTTAAAGATGTCTATGTTTCTGTTGTTGTTGTTGCTGTTGTTGTTAAAGATGTCTCTGTTTCTGTTGTTGTTGTTGTTAGAGTTGTCTATGTTTCTGTTGTTGTTGTTGTTAGAGTTGTCTATGTTTCTGTTGTTAAAGATGTCTATGTTTCTGTTGTTGTTGTTGTTGTTGTTGTTAGAGTTGTCTATGTTTCTGTTGTTAAAGATGTCTATGTTTCTGTTGTTGTTGTTGTTAGAGTTGTCTATGTTTCTGTTGTTGTTGTTGTTGTTAAATATGTCTATTTCTGTTGTTGTTGTTATTGTTGTTAAAGATGTCTATGTATCTGTTGTTGTTATTGTTGTTAGAGTTGTCTATGTTTCTGTTGTTGTTGTTGTTAAATATGTCTATGTTTCTGTTTCTGTTGTTGTTGTTGTTGTTAGAGTTGTCTATGTTTCTGTTGTTGTTGTTGTTGTTGTTAGAGTTGTCTATGTTTCTGTTGTTAAAGATGTCT